CTTGGCAAACAGGTTTTTTACCTTTGACCCAGCAAACACCCGGCGGGGGCATAGTAAGAAAAGTTTCAAGCTCATATCTTACATATTCATTTGACAAATTTTTTTCTCATTTCGCGTAGTAGCTGGGTGGAATGACCTTCCTCCGATGGTTGTCCACGCTCCTTCTAGAAGCTTGCTTAAAGCACTATTAGACATTTATTTATGCGAATCCTCGCGCTGGCGAGCATACTGCCCCGCGCTGAGAACATAAAGAGGCTACACCCTGGTAGTAGGTGCGTGGAACGGCCTCCTTCCGTCGGTTGTTAAGGCGCCTTCTAGATCCCAGCTTAAAGCACTATTAGACATTTATTTATGCGAATCCTCGCGCTGGCGAGCATACTGCCCCGCGCTGAGAACATAAAGAGCAGTGCTACACCCTTTTTTCACGTGTGCCTTTCAAGCGAACGACAGCTACTGACCGACAAGAACAAAAGCGACTCGGGAAACTTGGGTAATAGTCTCGATCCTGTGTATCAATCCGTGAATCCGTGGAACCGAGCATACTGAAATTCGGAGGGAGATTTGAAATTTTTGCTCCTACTTGAGATCGTTGTTGTAACCGTCGTTTTCGGTGCACACCGAGGGTCACACAATCGAGTGTGAACGCCTGGGTATGTCTATCCCTCGACCCGAGGAAAAGGGTTCTGTTGGATGTAGACGGAGATTCCGAAAGTGAGTTATCACCTGCCGATTGAATTATTTCGTTCACCTACTACTACGCAGCATAGCCTGAACGCAACGTTCACTATTGGCTGAGAGCTCAAATAGGCATCTCGTTACAGTTTGTGATGAATATCACTATTAACACAACTGGATTTTTCGTTTTAGTTACCTATAAGGTGCTTATGAAAGGCTATGTAGGCCTTTAATAACAAATATAACCTTACTTTGGATTATGTGCATTGCAACAGCTTTTCTAAGTGTCCGTTCTAGTTGCACTCCGTCTTCGCCTAAGGTGTAGAGTTTTTTCAAATATAACCCTGGCGACTTTCGTGGTTTCCACATGCATGTGGCGCGAGTGTTGTTAATTGTCAACTGAAAAATCATTGATACCTAAAACACCATCCAGCAACTGTGCGTAACTATGCAGTCGCAAATGTGGTTTATCGTGCAGGTCCAACTTGTATGGGGCGAACCAACAAGAGCTTGTTTACGAGGTTGTGATAATAGCATCAGCCGTTTGTGATCTCAGAAAGTAAAGCCTCCGATCTTGGATATTGTCGCCTTTGCCTACCACTATTTTTTGACCGGTTGAACGGACTTTCGCATCGCAGGTTAAGTTTAACTGAAGGGCTATCATTATGTGGGATTTCCTCCCATGCAACGGGTCGAAAGAGCACTTATTGAGCATTTAAACCCAAATAGGATCAAGAGGATGTGGTACGGCTGATGCTATTCACAAAGTGCGACATCACGCATGGAGTTCATGCAGTCTGGTGGTTCCGACACTTTCCTGTCCTATAACATGCTGTAGCTCCTTACTGCCGACCATGTCCCTGTGGAGACTCAAATATGAGACAGTTGCTGCTTGAAGATGTTTAGCTACCATCTGGACTCCTGCTCTGTACCTGCAGTATGACGTCTACTGCACCCAAATGACTCATAATGCATCTCCTTCGCCTAGGCAGTTTAAATTGAATTTTAATTCAGCAAGCTTCCACTAAAAGCTCCATAAATCACCTGTGCCACTCACGGGCTTGCGTCTGGATATGCAGCACACCCTTTTGGGCGTTTCAACGTATAAACCGAGTACCAAGAGATTCAACATGCCTAAAAGATAGGAGTATTAAGACATACGACTGGCCGAATCCCCGACATTGCCTACGAACATCGTTCTAGCTGATTACTTTCGGACGAACAGTACGACCGGAGGCGAGATTGCTCAAGTGGTTAAAGCGCGAATTTACTGACCGGAAGGTCCGTATTTCGAACCCGACCTCTGCTTCTCGACTTCGTCTGTCCAGACTTGGGCAGCCTGGCAGTTCGCCTGCCTCCTTCCTTCGGGTGGCATGGCAGTTGGGCACCGGAAGGGTGTTACAGCTGAACGATTTTATCATATTGTTATTATTCTTATTGTCATTATTATTTCGGATCTGGATGTTCAGCTAGCTTGTCGCAGCTCGACGTCAACCGACGAAAAAACACATTTCCCCTGCTCCGGAGCAGTGTATGTAAGATCCCTATGACCAAGGTTGTCATGGAATTTCTACTGTACAGAGCCCGCAATCGTAATAAGAGGTGTTGAAGGTAGTATTTTTTAACACATGTCGGCTGATTTTTGAGGGGCATGTATCATGCCTCCACACATAACCGGTAAGCACAGGCGCATGTGGAAGGTCATTGATTTGAACCCTGATCCATGCTTTATGGAGCTCTTGAATCTAGGCTACACAGCAACCATCTTTATCCCAATGATAATCCTTTTCACAGCGACCATCTAAACGTTATAATTAGCGGTGTAACGATGCTAATGACCAGGTGCCTAAAGACAAGGGTGAATCTCGCCCTGCTGACTACTCATTCGAGGTTTCATTCATGTTTACCCGATTATTTTCAGCCTTTGAACAGCTCGAACCTCTACGTAAGGGTTTTCATCGCCAGACACGAAGACTTGCCGCTACTGTAGAGTCGTCTTTTCGCTGTTTGCTTCTACGTGATGTCTGGTTTCGGGATTGAACGGGGGAAGAATCCCGTTGCTCTACTTTACATTTGTTATAGAAATGCACACTCCTCAAGGACAGTGACAGGCGTCTTCTCTTTCAGCTGTAGCACCCCTTCGGTGTCCAACTCCATGCCACCGCGACCATCTAAACGTTATAATTAGCGGTGTAACGATGCTAATGACCAGGTGCCTAAAGACAAGGGTGAATCTCGCCCTGCTGACTACTCATTCGAGGTTTCATTCATGTTTACCCGATTATTTTCAGCCTTTGAACAGCTCGAACCTCTACGTAAGGGTTTTCATCGCCAGACACGAAGACTTGCCGCTACTGTAGAGTCGTC